CTGCCCTGTCCTGTCCTGTCCTGCCCTGTCGTGCCCGCGGGTGAGTACCTGCCGGGGTGGGGAGGACGAGATGGCGCTTTCCTCGGGGAAGCGGCCGGGCCGGGCTCCTTCACCGCGGGCATGTCGCCGTCGGCTCCCGGGACGGAAGGCCGACCGGGTCCCCGGGCGCCGACCCGACCCGGAGCTGCTTCGGGACACCGGGCCGGGTGCTGGGCTCCGGCGGGGGCGGTCAGCCCGTCCCTGCCTTTCCCCTGCTGTCGGGGGGAGTCCCGGTGCGCGGCCGGTGCCCCGCCGGCAAGGCGGGAGGAGCCGCGGGGGTTTCGGAGCGCTTTGCACCCCGGTTTGGGGTCAGGGTAAACGAAAGTGCCCCGTTTGAGGCGGGGAGGGTGGCGGGAGAGTCTGAAGCATGGACGGCAGGGGATGGGGACCGGGGTTTTGGGTCCGGAGGTGCCTCGGCTGCCTTCGGGTACGTCTGGTCCCGCAAAAGGGGCAAACGGGGTGGCTGGGCTTTTCGCGGGGCGAGGGACAACCAGAGGCGCTTTCGGATACGAGACTCCTCGTCCAGTGCCAGCGGGTGTCTGCGTTTCTAGCTGCCTTGTTTGTCTGGCTTAACGAGTATTAACGTTTCATTCATCGTGCTCATATGTGGTTATGAATACGCTCGTATGCGGTTATGAACTGCTCCAGAGCAGATTTTGTAGAAAACTGGGTTTATATACAAAATATAACAGCTTTTGCTCCTTTCTTGGGCATCATCATGGCCAAGCCTGTGAGTGGGTGCAAAAGTTGGTGTTCTTTGATTGCTTCCTATTAATTGATACTCATTTCCTTTTCTGCCAAGAAGAATTAGTACTCGTGTATGTCTGAGATAACTGCATGTAACTGTGTGATACCGGGAAAGGAAATGACTAGAAGAATAACACTGGCCTAAAACAGACATTCACACTTCTTGTTCCTGTTCTTTAGATGGTATTTTAGGAACCGTTTTTTTAGCTGTCAGGGATCAAAATGGCAATATATGACTTTTTAAGATGAGAATACAATTTGAAGGATGCTCCTTTCTTACCAATGGTGTTACTCGCTATTCAAATAGTTTTATATGGAAGTGGTGAGACTACAAGATGAGCGTAACTCTTTTTTTCTTAATTCAAAACAGACCAAAGCTCTAACAGACGAACAGATGAAAGGTCATCCTTAAGAAAGGACGGTTTAGATGCCCAACGCCTCTGACGACCTTTTTCTCACTTTTTTTTTCACTGACTGCCTTGTATGACCACTGCTCTGAAACTGAAATTGCATGTTAAGTCATATGGCAAACGTATTGGGTGTTTTGGCCGAGACTTAAAACTGCAAGTTAACCTCTGTTGTCATAAGAGATCTTCATGAACAAACTAAGCACAGTACCTAAGATCCCTTGAGACATTAAAATGGGTATAATGTGATAACGGTATCTTCTGGGCACTGCAGATAAACGCGATGCTATGGAACACAGCTGCATATTATATCACAGTCTTGGAGATTTTGGGTGCTGTGGGGTTAGGCTCCAGGTCTGGTACCTTCCATTATATTATGACAGTAACTAATATCTGCTGCAAAAGGAGAAATGGTAGTCGCTGCTGGTGCAGAAATAATAGAGAGAAGAGAAACTGCTGGGTGAAAAGAGTCACCCAAATTGCTCCCCAGCATGGGCAGCGGGACTGTGCTCGCCTGTGCTTGCACGTACACTGTGCTGGACGTACAGTGAGACCGGGAGCAAGGGCACTGAACAAATCATGGAAATGCAGGGCCATGGGGAGACTGCACGACATCAGCTAATCCATTCCGTGCATTGTAGCAGTGCACCTAAACCGGACCTGAGAGGGGTTTCTGTAGGCTCTCTCTATCCTCTGAGGAAGAGGGTCCCACAGTGCTCCCACAGAAAAATGGCCTGATTTTCAGCTAGTCACAGCTAGTTCAACATAGATCTCATGCATGAAACAAATGGATTACTTTGTGTGTTTCCAATGTCAACACAGGGAACAAACTGATTGTTGCTCTTTTTATAAACTCCTTTTATACATTGGAGTGCTGTGTCTCTCTCCCTGGTCTTCTGCATGAAATGAACATAATTCCTTCAACTATTCTTCCTCCAGGGCTGTATTTTCTAAACCGTTTGGAGACAATTCTCAGTACACTCTGACTTTCCTAGTGTGAGTACAGGATGTACTATTCCAGCTGAGGCCCTACCTATGCCAAGCTGAGTAAAACCAGTCCTTCCCATGTCATCTCTCATAAAAGACATGGCTTTTTTTACAATGTCATTATATTGTGAACTTGCAAACTTTTAGCTTGCAATCTGCTATAACCCCACCAATGTTCTCTTGCTACCAAACTAGGTGCAACTTTCTATCTGTGCGAATAATTTCTTCTAAATGTACCATACCAGGCTCGTCTCTGTTGAATTTCCTTTTATTTTTGCCAGTACTTCTCTTACTTGCCAAGGTCATCTTAAATTCTCATCATTTCTCCTCCCCTCTGCCATCAAACACTCACTTGCACTCCCTTCCAGTTCCGTGTCACCTGGAGACTGTACAGGCTCATGTTTGGTTCCACTCTCCAAGCTGCTAATGGAAAATACGGATAACCTCCAAGTATGACAGAAACCCATCATAATGTTGGCCTATTCAAAACCAGTTCTGATGAGAGAAGACAACTGCTGTGTCAAGTATGAAGGTGCTGGATCAGATACATTTTCCATTATCTTTTATCTGGTCCATCAATTTTTTTGATTCTTTGGTCATCCCTGTAGTGCAGGGATGACAAAGCACAGTGCAGAAATTACTATGGCAATGTTAATTTGAGCCAACAAACTCATCTCAGCACCAAATACAGGGTTCCCACTTTTACGCAGTTTTGCAGAGAAGCCACTTCTGCTTACACTTGCATTTTGGGCTGCCCTCCGGGACGTGGTCCCCACATGAGCCATCTCTGGTGAGGAACATCATTCCCAGGGAGCGGCAGCGATGCTCCTGCCTAGGGCTGGCTCCTGGGAACCCCCTCTTGGGGAGCGGGACGGGGGGGCCCTGCTGGAGGGGAGCAATGCAGTTCAGTTTCTACATCTGTGTTGATAGCTTTTGCTGATTGTGTCAAGCGTCTTGGTATTTCATCTAGCCTATCACACAAAGTGTTTGGCTCTTCTCAGCTAGACCACATTTCTGTAGTTTATCACAGAGGGGATGATGTCACATATCTTGACTTCAGAAGGCTTATCACAGTTAACCCGTTAATTGCCAAGATAATTCTTGACAAACTCACATTCACAAAAGCCAAGAAAGTACTGAACGCTCCAGCTTTTCCTGCTATGCCCTTCCTCTGTGCCCTATTTGTGTTAATGATAAATCACTTATTTTTGAAAGGAAGAATAAAGCTTGCTTGAGCTTCGGATATGCCCAGTCAGGAACAGATTCTCTAAGTACCACTGGCCAGTGTGTCCCTAATTACATCTATATCTTGTCTCAACTTCACTGGTACTTTGAACGGGCCCGTGAACACCCATGGGCTGCTAAGTAGTGTAGAGTGACTGCCATAAAGCCTGCCAGCACCTGACATGTCCTGGGGCTGAGGCTCTGGGTATACATGTGTGGCTGTGGGGGTTATTTCCTGACTGAAACTATTTTGGTCCAGTTACAGTTGTGTAGATTTGGCAGTAGGACCCAGAACTGAGCCTCACGTGTACTGGCCAACATGAACAAACACCCTGTATTTAACCTTAAAGGGATTTTTTAAAGAGTACTTGATTTCAGATTCTAACACTGTATTACAAGCTTTAAATATACGTGTATTTGAAAAAGTAATGCTGTTGTGCTAATTTTAAAATGTCTGCAGAACATGTTGCTTCTGACTGATGATCACGTGCAACCTCATATTTCTACTCGGATGCCAACATAATGTCTTAATCACTTATAAATACCACTGTGAGGTAGCAATAGTAGTTATATAAATGGGGTATGTACGTAGCTATTTCACTGAGCCAATGTGTTTCAGGGAAGCCGAGGTAATTAATTAGATAATGTATATACTCATGGCAATGTAGCGACAGCACTGCCTGCAAGTGCGTTGTCTGATTTCCTCGCGCAATGACTCATAACGATGCCGAGCTGTAGTAATTGCCAAGAAATGCATGGATGGCTGTCTCACTGTTTATGTTAGTGATATGGTTCTGTCTTAACTATTTGCCAAGCTGGTGGAGGTACAGTTCACGCTCCCCTTGTCTCCATCTAGGCCAGTTTTACCTGAAGACCTTGCTGTTACCTATGGCAGGAAGGACGGGCACGCTGCAGTAGTCAGCCTGCAGTGCGCTGCGTGTACTGAAAAGCACTGAATGGAGAGCGATGGTGGGATTGTTTTTCTTCCCCTTGGGTAAAATACAATCCTGTGCATGTTCATTTACTTTTTATAATGGCACTCTGTTTTTAGCAAGCTGTACACGTTAAAGCTGATCGGAGTTAGCTGGCAGGTGTCAAGGATTCTGCAGGTTTTCAGTATCTGCAGTTGCTAACTATATATTCTGTTCCTAGCATCCTTAGGAAAAGGAAGGGGCTAAATTTGGGGTTTGCATTAGCCTTTCCTGTCCTTAACTTCCATTTGTATACAGAAGCATGAGGACTGCTGGAGAGAGTTCCCAAATTGGGGAGGGGGTTCAAACAATGCACATGAAGACTTAACACTTCAATGGGCCATGTAGTGAAGATGGAGAAACTTTTTTTTGTCTACAGCCCTGGTACAGGCACACCCCCCCAGCCAAACAAACACAAATCTAGTTACAATTGCTCATTAGTGTGACTTGTGAGAAAAATGTCAAGAGATACTAAGAATCCATTTTATTGTCTAGCCAGGATTGAAAATTTGTCAGTGGTGATCCACAGCTCTCCAGTGAAAATTTAGACAACCCAGTAAGTAGTAATAGTCAACCTATGTGCAACAAGCTGTCCTCTCCAGTGCAAGAATAATGTTTACTTAGCACGTGCTACTGTGTAGTAACAAGTTAAAACTTCAGATTTTTTTGTCTGTCTCATCATAAATATGTGAAAAATGCAATGCATATTATGTGTGCACTTAATGCATGCCAGCAGCTTCTCCTAGTTTTGATACTGATGTCTGGAAAACCTGATAACTAGTCTATGGAAAACACCAAGATGGTTAACTTTATTGAATATGTCTGGGAAGTATAAGGTGCACCCTAGATCCTTGAATTTGTAATATGCTGTTGTACAAAAATTGAGAGTTACTTTACCTTGAAGAGACTGAATACTGGTAAAGACACTGGGGTAAGTCAAAGAGGACCCTCCAAAGCTATCAGTATTCAAGCAATTATTGCCTCATTACTTTAAGTTAGAGGCAACAAACTATTTGAATGTTAATTTCCCCCCCCCTAGGCCTTTCCTAGCCTTTATGGTAGGAAAGGAACCACTGGAGACTTGGAGATTCTGACAGCTGCAGAAATAGCCCACAACGAATGGAGCCATCCCTGCTTCTCTGAATATATCGACTTGTAATAAATAACTTGTTCCAATACAAACAGAGAAGTTGACACTTCATGCAAGCTTTTGGAAAAAAACCTGCCCTGAGACATTTGCAACTGCATGCGCTTCTCACTAGGGTATTGAAAGTATTAAAAGAGGTGTTCTGCTGTACACAGGCTTTGACTACAATATGAAGTGGGTGGTGTCTAAGAGTCTTCAGATATATTTGCGGCTTCTTGCTGGATTTCTGTAGCTTTATAACTGGTGTTCTGTGTTAACTGGTGTATTTTCAATCCTGAATATTTTTTCTATTTTTAAACATTGCCCAATCCAAGAAACTCCAGAGAAGATAACTTCCTTTCAGTGAGGCCACAGAAAGATTCTGAAATGCTGATCTCTGTCATAGTTGTTAATATTGGAGTTAATATACAGATATGATCTTAAAACTGCTCCACAAGGCAAGCTGTCCTATCATTAGATTATGATTTTTGGTGTTTCCTTGAGCTCTTACAGATGAGAAGGAAGGAAAAAGAAGAGTGATTTGAGAAATTCAAGCCTGCTGTTCCACCAGTGATGGACATGATTGGGGAGATGGGGAATTTGGTCTGAAAAGATGACTAGCACTCTGCTATCAGTCAATTAGCAGATCTTTTGGAAAGAGGAAAACCTATTGTAAACAACAGTCTGTTTTCCAAATGAATTTATATTGTCAAATCTATTATTGGACAACAGATGCCAGGCAAAATTATTAAATCTGGTCTAAGACAGTTGTTTCCAAAACAGAAAGATACTAGAAAACTGTGATTAAATCTGAACTCCAACTCTTCAAATGAAAGGCTTCGGCTGCATTTAACCCTTCTTTTACCTATACATTACTTGCATTTTTGTGCAACAGCAGCACACTATTTGCCTTGTAATGGAGCGTGTTCGACTCAACCAGTCCGAGTGGATTTCCATCAATACTGCATCCTCTACAAGCAGTATGGGAAGATATTGGAATGTGCTGACGCACGCTTGGCTATGAAGCAATTCTGCCTGGGAGTAGGTTATTTCCTAATTGTTCACCACTTGTTTTCTTGAGTCACATCTATTCTGTGTCATGCAACCAAGAGCACATGCCATTCAGAGACAGGATGAGCCACGCGGGTTCATAGTGGAGCACAAAACGACTTCTACCTTCTGAGGGAGAGAAGAACTGCTGATAGAAATGAATTTTAACTGGCTTGTTTTGAAATATCTGTTGTTCCTCAAACAGGCCACTTCAACTGAAGTCAAAGCTTCATCTTGTAAGGCCCTACTCAAGGCTAAAAAGATTACTGACTAGACTTTGGGTAATCCACAAGCTAGTATTAACTAGCAGCTGCCTTTGATGAATGCTGTAAAAATTAAAAATGTACACTGGCTTCCTTCCCAGCTCCTGGTGACGAAATATGGATGCTGTGCTGAAACTGCTGCTTTATTTCACCGTTTGTCCCCAAACTCAGTGATGTGGATATACAAATGCTAAAGCTGAAATAAATAGAGGTGTGCAGCTCATTTGTTTCTATAGAAATAACTTTTCATCCTTAAGTTATTTCTATGTAGGTGACAGGCTGCAGAACATTAGCACAGCAATGGAAATGTGCTGTGTAGGACTCCTATTTGTTTGTATATGGGGCTAACAGGGGGTTTATGTGTATGCACAGTTTTTGATTTTCAGAGTGAATTTCCTTTCCTGTCTGAAATCCCATGTCATGCAGAGTTGTGTGGGGCTGCAGTCTTTACTGCGCCAGGACAGCTTGAGTCTTTCTCAGGCATCATGGGAAAGCTAGTCATTGTGGTGATTAATACCAAGAAGTAGCATGCTAACATGAAGAGATGAGCACTGAACGTGTCCTCAGCTGACTGTACTTGGTGGGTATCTGGCTTCAAATTTGTAACCTCTGCAGTCATTACCTGGCCTGTACTTCCTGGGTGTGTGAGTGTGTATTTTGGTGTTACACACCATGACGGACTGCAGAAGGAACTTCATTTTTACAAGGACAGATTTATCTAGCCCAAAAATACAAACATGGAAGTACATGTTCCAGTTTGAATATACACAGTATTTTAAAAGAAAATAAAACTGACAGCTAATCTATTAAAATGCACACTCTTAGAATTAAGTTATTTATACTCTTGGGGCTGTTACTCCAGAGTAGTTGGCGTCTTGATACTCTCATATGTTAGAACTATCTTAAATAAACCCATGCAAGTACTTGAATATATTTAGCACTCATGTTCAAATTAGTGAACTTTTGACCTAAGGCTGAGTACTGGAACAATTTAGACTGGACCTTTGGAGGTCGTCTAATCCAGCCCCCCTCCAAAGACACACAGGTGGTTCAGGTTGCTGAGGGCCATGTCCAGTAGAGTTTTGAATATCTTCTATGCAGATTCCAAAACTTCTCTGGACATCTTTTCCAGTGTTTCTGAAAGATGTATATTTTTCCTTTTTTTCTTGCTCTACTATCTGGCTGGCTTTTCCCTCGTTTCCACTTGGGTCTCTTACCCCTTTTGCTGTTGCTGCACACCTTCATGAAGGGTCTATCCGTCCATGACGCAGTTGGTGACAGCAACAAGACTTCCCTTGAGCTTCCTGCTTTCCAGGCTGAACATTCCCAGCTCTCTCAGCCTCTCCTCATATATCAGGTGCTCCAGCACCTCTGACCGTCCATCTTGGTGGCCTCCCCAGTGTGTCCATGTCTCTTGCGCTGGGGAGCCCCGGCACCAACACAGCAGTCCAGATGTGGACTCTCAAGTGTCAGATGGGGGGAGGGTCACTTCCCTCGACCACCTTTGCTACATCAGCCCAGGATTCTGTTGGCCCCCTTTTGCCACAAGGGCGCATTGCTGACTCATGTTCAACTTGATGGCCACCACCACACCCAGGTCCTGTTCTGCAGAGCTGCTTGCTAGCCAGGGAGCCCAACTTATACTGCTGCACCAGGCCCTCTGTTCAGGGAGGTATTGCTGCTCATTTTAAAGAATGTGTGCTGAGGCTATCCCTAACAACTAGTAATGTACTATGTATTAATATATTGTTGTTTTAATTACAAACAATGCTACCGACATGTAAGTAGATGCAAACTTCCCCGAGTAACAACAGCATCTGATAAAGGAGGTCACTTTTTCTAAATACTGATTCGTTAAGCTGACATTTTTCAAATGGCTGTTCCCCCCTGCTCTCCCATGCTTGTTTGTTCATTTGTTTCAGCTCTTTAGTGTCAGTTCTGCCCCTGACACTACCAAAGGAATGCTTGGGAGTTATTGTCCTCTCTTGGGAAGATCTGGTTCCCCTTTGTTTGAAATGGGAATTTGAAATGGGGAAAGACCTCTGTGGTGGCGTTGCATTCGAGCCTGCTGTTTTCCTTATGTAAACCTCCTAAAATTTTGCCAAATTGTGAGTTTCTCAAAGCAGCAGTTTGCAAATGCCCCAAATAAATTTACTGGGTTCCTTGAGCAAAAGGTGCTCAAGAAAGCTGAAACCTAAACATTTTCTTGAACCTCACAGATATCTTTGGTCAAATATTACAAATGCTAACCTGCAGAGTAATTTTGCATGCTCTTGCATAAAGCTGAATAGGCGTCCTCTGCAATTTGTGGTGTTTGTGGCCTAATATGATGCTGAAATACAGGCAGAAAGTCATTCTCTTCCTGTCCTCCATCCTGTCCAGGCACTGTATGTAGATAAGGAAGAGCATCTTGCAAATGTGAAGATGAAGTAGGAAGCAGGCTAGGTGATGTACTTTAGAAACAGAGAGAAAAAGACAGGACTCAAGGAAAATGAAAGATGTCAAAAATCCCTAATTTTGCAGGACTCTGAAGTCCAGCTTGAAGAGATGGCATCGTTTGTTAGGACAAAAGTGCGATCACTTTAGCTGTGGAGCCATTACCCTGATGCGTATGGATCCTCAATGCAGAGTTAAAAGATCCTCATGTTGATCACCTTGAATGTAAGTTTGGTATGCAGTTTAAAATAATGTAGGCTTTTAGAGCTAAGCACTCAGAAACTGGGAAACCCCAGGTTGAAGATTGTCAGTGCAACTGTAATTTGATCCCTCTGTTCACATTTAGAATTGGATTCTACTGGTTCTACTGGATCACGGAGATCGTGGGTGATGCTGTACATATCATTGGAGACGAGCTTCTCACCTCGATCCATGTGTTCATTCACTGATGTCCGGCTTGTGACTTTGTGCTCTTACTCAGCAAAGTGCCCGAGGCTTGCAGCGGTGACCGAAGTCAGAAGGAGCTGACTTCTGAATGTACCAGGTACAAAAAACTGTGCTTCAGGTGTCTCAGGTGGGCATTGTTACTCATCAAGAGTGATAGTGTTGTCCTTAGTCACTCTAAGCTGAAACCTGTGGCTGTGGATGGGGCTGTTAGATCTGCCCTCCCCCAAAAAGACTGTTACAAGTCTAAGGAGCTTTCCAGGGATTTCACAAGAGAAATCCATAAGGAAATTAATAGTAGTAACATAGTAAATGATATATCTGTCCATGAACTGAATGATGAATATTAAATTTTAGGTTGTACAACTTTTATTCGGCCTATACAGACTGTAGGCAGAGACTTGGTGGAAGTGATAAGACATAGGCCAGTGTTTAACTGCATGATCTTCCTGTGTGTAGGCAACAATATTTTTACAGAGATGCTGCAGAATTAGTATACACATGAACTTACTACAGCATTAGTATTTTCATGTTGTGAATTACCATGTATTTACTTCTCCATTTCTCCCTATTTTTATTTTATGTAACACCTTAAAATTGTTGCGGGTGAGAAAGACAAATTGCAAGTTACACTTTTGAGTGTAGGGGGAAGGAAGGGTAGACCTATTCCTACAAACTGATAAGTTTATTACGCAGGAGTTCTTACTCAGTGTGGTTTTCTGTTTGTGTTTTCTTTGTCAAGCACAAAAAATAAAACGTTATTCTTGTTGAGCCAGTTGCCAGTCTGCTCTCTGTGGAAGGCTTATGAAGTTCAGTTTTTCTCAAGTTCAAGGAATTTTAAGCACAAAGGCAATGTAGTCCTGCACGCACATGATTTAGTTTACATGAATGGCACCTTGCTGCTGTGGGTTGTCATTTTAAAGTCATAAAAAAACATTGTTTGCTGTTTCCAAATGTAGATGCTAAACACAAAAAGGATAAACTGCTGAACCCAACACATGACAGCTCAAGGATCAGACTAGAAGTGGGAGGATCATCAACTCTAGGGAAGCCAGTAAGAGTCAGGAATGCAGTCAGATGAGCAATGTGACTGGTTTTCAGAGCCATGTCCACATTTCAGGTGAAAAGCATCTCAGAAACAGTTAGTGATTAGAAGAGATCTAATAATTCTGAGATTGCTAGATGCCTTTGTTCCCTTTCCACCATGCTGTCTAGAAAATGGTCCACTATTTCCAGACAGGAGGGGTAGATGTTCTCACTGTCCCAATGCCTCTAGGCAAACTTAGCCATACAGTTTTAAAGCCAAGTAAACCCGACCTTTAAGCTGTACCACACTTTTTTTTTTTTCCTTTTAGATGGGGATTTTTCATGTTGATTTTGTGGCATGAGGTGAAAGTCTTGATTTTATTATTGTTGAGGGAGGAGGTGGAAAACCTTTCATTTCCTAAAGCTTTCTCTATATGATTGAGTTGAATCTATGTGGCTTATGTTTTAAATTCAAACAATCATCTTACACGTGTGGATTCCTGAATGAAAGCTCTTCTCTCAGGATGTTAAATGGACTTTATTTGTTTACATTGCTTGTAAAAGGATTTGTTTAAGTTGAAATTCACTTTTTTGCTTCAATGTAAATGTGATCCTAATCAGGACAGTTCTCAAGACCAGTATATACCCCCAATGAACTATATGAGCCCAAGAGACTATGTCTGTGATGGAATCTTTCCCATCTCCTCCCTAACATCTTTAACACATCCTACAATCCCATGAAACAGATTATAAACTTGCAGTTTTAATTCACATTAGATCTAGGCCTGTTATACTGGGTATGTATGCATGACTTTTCTTAACCTGGGAGTAACTGATGATCCTATGAAGGGATGTCTTGTTCACGGTGGATAGCATGTTTGTAAATGTTGTGAAGATACTTTAATTCCTGGAAAAACAAAAATGAATCCTTCAGACACAGAGATCTGGAGATGTCCTGCTTGGTGCTGCTTCTTAACTTGGTTCTCTTTCTTATTAATTTAAATGAGGTCATGGGATGTACAGCTTCTGTGATGGAAAATTTTCAGCTTCCTGCTTGCTGTAACACTTGGTGCAGGGCTCTTGCTAAAGCTTTCAGATTTCACTTTCTGCAAAGACTTTAGGTCTAGAGCTTCAAGTAAACAACATACTTAAAGGAGGCTTATGTTTTGTTACCACGTAACCGGTCTGTACAGATTATTCATTCTGTGGCTTTTAATTAAATTTGTAGTTAAGTAGGCCTGAGACAAACACATAGAAAACAGATCCTAATCTGTAACAATGGTGTTACTTTATTTCTTCAGTAGGATATTTCCATCACACAAAAAAGAAGGGTTGGATGGATGGTTTTACTTACAAAATGCTGCTATTGCTGTGTTGTTTTGTTTGATGCCTGGTACGTATGGTCAATGATAGCATCTGCAGACCCTAAACTTGCCCTTTTTTTTTTTTAATTTTAGATTTTTAATTCTGTCTTGATACTTTCCACACCATTTCTCAAAACTTTTCTTTCCCAACTGTATTGGTGAATGCCATTTCTGTTTCTGAGAGGCTTCCTACTCTTCTCCCAGGAAAAGCAAGCTTAGAATGACAGAGGACCTGTGACATTTAGGGCAGTTGATGTAATGAAGGTCAAGATGTACAGATTTCTCTAGTGAGCAGCAGTGGGAAGCGTTCAGTTATTAACGCATCTACACATACCAGTAGCTGAAGGCTTTCTATCATTTGCTCAAGAGTTTGTTTTTTTTTCTCCAAGTGAAAGACTGGCATTTTGGGGGGGTTGGGGATCGTCTTATTATTCTTTTGGATTTTCTTCAGGATTTGTTGTCTTCTCCCTTGCACTTTTTTAGTTTCTAAGCTTTCTAGTTTCTAGAAGAGTGTTCTAGCACCAGAGTTTTGGATCTGAGATCCATCACTATATAAAATACCGTGAACAAATTTAAAATCTGGTATTTTGGGTTATTTTTGATGTAGTTATAACTATGATGTAGTTATTAGCTATGAACTTTCAATGCTTTTAAACCAATATTTTATTTACTTTAAAATTCTTTCCTCCTGTTCCTCTGTTTTACAGGCAGGATGAAAGACCGACTAAATGAGCTGCGTGAATTTGCCAGGTTACACAACCAACAGTTTTCTGATAGTGAGGAGGATGAAAATTCACCCCATGATGTTCTCCTTTATGAGACTGATTATGCCTTGGAAATTCTTCATAAAGACATACAGAACATTCGGACAGAAAATGACCACCTAAAAGAGGATGTCAAGCGGCTCAGAAAGCAAAACAGCCGCTTCCTTACTTCCATGCGCCGTCTTAGTAGCATCAAACGAGATACTAATTGTATTGCCAGAGACATCAAGGCCCGCGGAGAAAGCATCCACAGGAAACTCCAGATAATGAGAGATTTCAGCGAAGATGCAATAACAAAATACGGGGCTATGTCTGTCATTGCCAGGGTGGCGAAGAACCACTATGTTGACCTCATGCATGCATTTCAGGAAGCTATGTTTGAATACAATGCAACAGAGATGAACCAGCGGGAGAACTGCAAGATTCGAATTCAGCGGCAGCTAGAGATCATGGGCAAAGATGTTTCTAGCAATCAGATTGAGGAGATGATTGAGCAAGGCAAGTGGGATGTCTTCTCTGAGAATCTCTTGTCGGATGTTAAGGGGGCTCGCTCAGCCTTGAATGAGATAGAGACACGTCATAAGGAGCTGGTGAAGTTAGAAGGACGCATTAAGGAAGTTCACGAGCTCTTTCTGCAGGTGGCCCTGCTAGTGGAGGAACAGGCGGACACCTTCGATGTCATTGAGATAAATATGCAAAATGTTGAGGACTATGTAGGAGAAGCTAAAGAGCAAGTGAAAAAAGCTTTGGAATACAGAAGAAAACACCCCTTCAGAACAATCCTCTGCTGCTGCTTATCCTGTTGCAGAAGGTGACTATCCCACTGAAGCTATCACCGACCAACTCAAATGTCTTCAAAATCAGGCATTCTTTCCAGTGACTTCTCTGTAATGAAAACCCCTATAAACGGGGGGGGGGGGGGGGGGGGTTTT